GCCCCCGGGAAGGGACAGGGGAGGAGAAGGCACGGTGCCCCCGGGAAGGGACAGGGGAGGAGAAGGCACGGTGCCCCCGGGAAGGGACAGGGGAGGAGAAGGCACGGTGCCCCCGGGAAGGGACAGGGGAGGAGAAGGCACGGTGCCCCCGGGAAGGGACAGGGGAGGAGAAGGCACGGTGCCCCCGGGAAGGGACAGGGGAGGAGAAGGCACGGTGCCCCCGGGAAGGGACAGGGGAGGAGAAGGCACGGTGCCCCCGGGAAGGGACAGGGGAGGAGAAGGCACGGTGCCCCCGGGAAGGGACAGGGGAGGAGAAGGCACGGTGCCCCCGGGAAGGGACAGGGGAGGAGAAGGCACGGTGCCCCCGGGAAGGGACAGGGGAGGAGAAGGCACGGTGCCCCCGGGAAGGGACAGGGGAGGAGAAGGCACGGTGCCCCCGGGAAGGGACAGGGGAGGAGAAGGCACGGTGCCCCCGGGAAGGGACAGGGGAGGAGAAGGCACGGTGCCCCCGGGAAGGGACAGGGGAGGAGAAGGCACGGTGCCCCCGGGAAGGGACAGGGGAGGAGAAGGCACGGTGCCCCCGGGAAGGGACAGGGGAGGAGAAGGCACGGTGCCCCCGGGAAGGGACAGGGGAGGAGAAGGCACGGTGCCCCCGGGAAGGGACAGGGGAGGAGAAGGCACGGTGCCCCCGGGAAGGGACAGGGGAGGAGAAGGCACGGTGCCCCCGGGAAGGGACAGGGGAGGAGAAGGCACGGTGCCCCCGGGAAGGGACAGGGGAGGAGAAGGCACGGTGCCCCCGGGAAGGGACAGGGGAGGAGAAGGCACGGTGCCCCCGGGAAGGGACAGGGGAGGAGAAGGCACGGTGCCCCCGGGAAGGGACAGGGGAGGAGAAGGCACGGTGCCCCCGGGAAGGGACAGGGGAGGAGAAGGCACGGTGCCCCCGGGAAGGGACAGGGGAGGAGAAGGCACGGTGCCCCCGGGAAGGGACAGGGGAGGAGAAGGCACGGTGCCCCCGGGAAGGGACAGGGGAGGAGAAGGCACGGTGCCCCCGGGAAGGGACAGGGGAGGAGAAGGCACGGTGCCCCCGGGAAGGGACAGGGGAGGAGAAGGCACGGTGCCCCCGGGAAGGGACAGGGGAGGAGAAGGCACGGTGCCCCCGGGAAGGGACAGGGGAGGAGAAGGCACGGTGCCCCCGGGAAGGGACAGGGGAGGAGAAGGCACGGTGCCCCCGGGAAGGGACAGGGGAGGAGAAGGCACGGTGCCCCCGGGAAGGGACAGGGGAGGAGAAGGCACGGTGCCCCCGGGAAGGGACAGGGGAGGAGAAGGCACGGTGCCCCCGGGAAGGGACAGGGGAGGAGAAGGCACGGTGCCCCCGGGAAGGGACAGGGGAGGAGAAGGCACGGTGCCCCCGGGAAGGGACAGGGGAGGAGAAGGCACGGTGCCCCCGGGAAGGGACAGGGGAGGAGAAGGCACGGTGCCCCCGGGAAGGGACAGGGGAGGAGAAGGCACGGTGCCCCCGGGAAGGGACAGGGGAGGAGAAGGCACGGTGCCCCCGGGAAGGGACAGGGGAGGAGAAGGCACGGTGCCCCCGGGAAGGGACAGGGGAGGAGAAGGCACGGTGCCCCCGGGAAGGGACAGGGGAGGAGAAGGCACGGTGCCCCCGGGAAGGGACAGGGGAGGAGAAGGCACGGTGCCCCCGGGAAGGGACAGGGGAGGAGAAGGCACGGTGCCCCCGGGAAGGGACAGGGGAGGAGAAGGCACGGTGCCCCCGGGAAGGGACAGGGGAGGAGAAGGCACGGTGCCCCCGGGAAGGGACAGGGGAGGAGAAGGCACGGTGCCCCCGGGAAGGGACAGGGGAGGAGAAGGCACGGTGCCCCCGGGAAGGGACAGGGGAGGAGAAGGCACGGTGCCCCCGGGAAGGGACAGGGGAGGAGAAGGCACGGTGCCCCCGGGAAGGGACAGGGGAGGAGAAGGCACGGTGCCCCCGGGAAGGGACAGGGGAGGAGAAGGCACGGTGCCCCCGGGAAGGGACAGGGGAGGAGAAGGCACGGTGCCCCCGGGAAGGGACAGGGGAGGAGAAGGCACGGTGCCCCCGGGAAGGGACAGGGGAGGAGAAGGCACGGTGCCCCCGGGAAGGGACAGGGGAGGAGAAGGCACGGTGCCCCCGGGAAGGGACAGGGGAGGAGAAGGCACGGTGCCCCCGGGAAGGGACAGGGGAGGAGAAGGCACGGTGCCCCCGGGAAGGGACAGGGGAGGAGAAGGCACGGTGCCCCCGGGAAGGGACAGGGGAGGAGAAGGCACGGTGCCCCCGGGAAGGGACAGGGGAGGAGAAGGCACGGTGCCCCCGGGAAGGGACAGGGGAGGAGAAGGCACGGTGCCCCCGGGAAGGGACAGGGGAGGAGAAGGCACGGTGCCCCCGGGAAGGGACAGGGGAGGAGAAGGCACGGTGCCCCCGGGAAGGGACAGGGGAGGAGAAGGCACGGTGCCCCCGGGAAGGGACAGGGGAGGAGAAGGCACGGTGCCCCCGGGAAGGGACAGGGGAGGAGAAGGCACGGTGCCCCCGGGAAGGGACAGGGGAGGAGAAGGCACGGTGCCCCCGGGAAGGGACAGGGGAGGAGAAGGCACGGTGCCCCCGGGAAGGGACAGGGGAGGAGAAGGCACGGTGCCCCCGGGAAGGGACAGGGGAGGAGAAGGCACGGTGCCCCCGGGAAGGGACAGGGGAGGAGAAGGCACGGTGCCCCCGGGAAGGGACAGGGGAGGAGAAGGCACGGTGCCCCCGGGAAGGGACAGGGGAGGAGAAGGCACGGTGCCCCCGGGAAGGGACAGGGGAGGAGAAGGCACGGTGCCCCCGGGAAGGGACAGGGGAGGAGAAGGCACGGTGCCCCCGGGAAGGGACAGGGGAGGAGAAGGCACGGTGCCCCCGGGAAGGGACAGGGGAGGAGAAGGCACGGTGCCCCCGGGAAGGGACAGGGGAGGAGAAGGCACGGTGCCCCCGGGAAGGGACAGGGGAGGAGAAGGCACGGTGCCCCCGGGAAGGGACAGGGGAGGAGAAGGCACGGTGCCCCCGGGAAGGGACAGGGGAGGAGAAGGCACGGTGCCCCCGGGAAGGGACAGGGGAGGAGAAGGCACGGTGCCCCCGGGAAGGGACAGGGGAGGAGAAGGCACGGTGCCCCCGGGAAGGGACAGGGGAGGAGAAGGCACGGTGCCCCCGGGAAGGGACAGGGGAGGAGAAGGCACGGTGCCCCCGGGAAGGGACAGGGGAGGAGAAGGCACGGTGCCCCCGGGAAGGGACAGGGGAGGAGAAGGCACGGTGCCCCCGGGAAGGGACAGGGGAGGAGAAGGCACGGTGCCCCCGGGAAGGGACAGGGGAGGAGAAGGCACGGTGCCCCCGGGAAGGGACAGGGGAGGAGAAGGCACGGTGCCCCCGGGAAGGGACAGGGGAGGAGAAGGCACGGTGCCCCCGGGAAGGGACAGGGGAGGAGAAGGCACGGTGCCCCCGGGAAGGGACAGGGGAGGAGAAGGCACGGTGCCCCCGGGAAGGGACAGGGGAGGAGAAGGCACGGTGCCCCCGGGAAGGGACAGGGGAGGAGAAGGCACGGTGCCCCCGGGAAGGGACAGGGGAGGAGAAGGCACGGTGCCCCCGGGAAGGGACAGGGGAGGAGAAGGCACGGTGCCCCCGGGAAGGGACAGGGGAGGAGAAGGCACGGTGCCCCCGGGAAGGGACAGGGGAGGAGAAGGCACGGTGCCCCCGGGAAGGGACAGGGGAGGAGAAGGCACGGTGCCCCCGGGAAGGGACAGGGGAGGAGAAGGCACGGTGCCCCCGGGAAGGGACAGGGGAGGAGAAGGCACGGTGCCCCCGGGAAGGGACAGGGGAGGAGAAGGCACGGTGCCCCCGGGAAGGGACAGGGGAGGAGAAGGCACGGTGCCCCCGGGAAGGGACAGGGGAGGAGAAGGCACGGTGCCCCCGGGAAGGGACAGGGGAGGAGAAGGCACGGTGCCCCCGGGAAGGGACAGGGGAGGAGAAGGCACGGTGCCCCCGGGAAGGGACAGGGGAGGAGAAGGCACGGTGCCCCCGGGAAGGGACAGGGGAGGAGAAGGCACGGTGCCCCCGGGAAGGGACAGGGGAGGAGAAGGCACGGTGCCCCCGGGAAGGGACAGGGGAGGAGAAGGCACGGTGCCCCCGGGAAGGGACAGGGGAGGAGAAGGCACGGTGCCCCCGGGAAGGGACAGGGGAGGAGAAGGCACGGTGCCCCCGGGAAGGGACAGGGGAGGAGAAGGCACGGTGCCCCCGGGAAGGGACAGGGGAGGAGAAGGCACGGTGCCCCCGGGAAGGGACAGGGGAGGAGAAGGCACGGTGCCCCCGGGAAGGGACAGGGGAGGAGAAGGCACGGTGCCCCCGGGAAGGGACAGGGGAGGAGAAGGCACGGTGCCCCCGGGAAGGGACAGGGGAGGAGAAGGCACGGTGCCCCCGGGAAGGGACAGGGGAGGAGAAGGCACGGTGCCCCCGGGAAGGGACAGGGGAGGAGAAGGCACGATGCCCCCGGCTAAGGGAGTGGCCACTTTCATGTTTCTGCGAACCCAGTGGTGGCTCAGGACAAACAATAAAACCACCCCCCGCACCACACGTCCCCGTGCCCGTCCCCAGGGGTGACGTGAAGGGAAACTGGAGGAACGTCCCCAGCTGCCCTCTGATGCGGGCAGTTCTCATGGCGGGGCTCCCCCAGGTGAGGGGGCTCGGGTGCTGCCCAGGTGCCAGGGACAGCAATGAAACTGCACAGCCCCCACCACCCCCAAGGCCTGGCCATTACCGAAGGCTGAGCGTGGGCTGGTGGCCGGCCCGCCGGTGGGTTAACACGGTGTCAGACCCGTCCTGCGTCCCTCCCAGAAGCCCCTGGCCGGGAGGGGCTCCGGCCACCAGGTGCACCCTCAGTCCCAAATGGGTGATGCCCCCACCGGGGCTGCCGGGGGTGGGGAGGGACCGTGAGGCCGACAGCAGGTCAGCTGAGCGGGAGGAGCCAGGGCAGACCCGGCGCTGGCCACAGGCCGGCAGGAGAGCGCACCTGGGCCTTCTGGGCGACGTCCAGCACCAGCTGGAACTTCTCGGACACCGTCAGGTCCTCCTTCGGCGGCTCCTGGGCCACAGGGAAAGGAACGGCCGCTGAGATGAACGCTCAGAGACGTCATTTACAAACCGCACAAGGCCTCCCGCCCGGGGTCAGGCCCTCTGCCACCCCCACTCAGCCCAGGGACCACGTCCTGGGGGACCTGGCCTCAGGGGCCAGCTTGGGGCACCCCCCTTGGCGCCTGAGAGGGCAGGCAGTGGACACCCCCGTAGCCGGCGGGGCTGAGGCACCCACTAACGGCTCCATTCGAAGGTGCATCTGAAACCATGCAGTGCCCCCAACTCACTTTACAGGCAGGGAAACTGAGGCAGAGGAGGGCTTATCTAAGTTCTTTCAACAAAACCCTCCAGAGGGACCCGGGCCTGCCCCAGACATCCTCTCTAACCTAAAGGAACCCTGCAGGCACCACCACACCCAGCACCCCTACTGCGTGCTCCATGCACACAGTAGGTGCTCAAACATCTGCTGAGGCCCACGGAAGCACTGAGGGCTCCCTCCCGCCCACACCAGCGGTTCTGCCCCAGGGGCCAGAGTCCCTTCTAGAGCGAGGGCAACATGTCCTTTCTGCCTGAGCCACACTGCAAACGTGGGGCTCTGCGGGCCACTCGGTCACCGTCACAGCCACAGCAGCCACAGCGTGGGTGAGTGAGTGGCATGGCTGTGCCAACAGAACAGTATTCACAGGGCAGGTTGGAGGCAAGATGCCTACGGAGCTTTTGCCTACGGGGCTGACCCTGCTCTACACATTGCTGGCCCAGCCCACCGTCCCCTCCCTGCCCAGGAGGCTGTGGGGGGCTACAGAGGCCCCCTTTGCTGCCCCCCGCCCCCCGATGTTCCATGCCAGGTGGGAAGGGTCAGTAGACTAGGATGGGCAGGGCAACCTCTTCCGGAGCAGCTGAGCCTGGGCCTGCAGGGCACTGGGGCACCAGCGGTCACGTGGTCAGGGTGCAGCTGCCCAGGGACCGGGCGCCTCCGGCCTCTGCTGGGCAGGCGGGGCTC